TAAGCTGCATGTCAGTTTCAATATCTTGTATTTAGAATGGTATTTTTAGTATTTGGAAAGGCATTCGTCATTTTTGCAGTGTTTGGCCCTTAACTGGTTTTGCTTTGGTCCTCTTGAGTGGGGCTCACTGTTGCATAGCTCAGGAGCTGGTTGAAGGGAGACTATTGCCAAGTGTCAAGACTTTGGGGTAGAGGGGAAAATTTGAGTCGTATTTCCCCTATTTTGCATATCTCTCAAATCAGAGAAAATGTAGAGTGTGAATTTGAAGGTATTTCCTTGTTGGCACAAACTATTGCTAGTTTTTTAAATCTCCTTTTTGGCAATTTAATGAGAAGTGGACTGTACACCGGTCATCTTCCCACTGGAGTTGGGAAGCTCCTTATTTTCAGTAAGGCAGAACAGGCAGCCCCAACATGAGATTGTTTCCTTGGTCTCCCTCAAATCTGATCACTCATATGGTGTGTTGTTGCCTCCTGTTTCGGTCTTCGGTTATTCTGGTTCTCAGACACATAGCAGAGGCAGAAGTTACAAGTGGCTAAGAACAAAAGACGCTGCTATTGCATCCAGAAGTAGCCTTTGCTTCTTAAAGAGTCCTGCTATGTTTTTCATGTAAGCATTATAAGATTCTCTAGAGCTTGAACAATTGCTGTTACTAAACTTAAAAACAAACAAACAGAAACTTAAAAATTGCTAAGCTCTAATGAAAATTGATCTAGAAAATAAAGTAGAAAGTTGAAAATGTGTACTTTCTATGTAACGATACTTTCCTGTATCGAGTGTTAACTAAAATGCTTGTTTGAAGTGTTTCTGCATTTCATTTTGTGAATGCCCAGGAGAACAAGGTTATTTGAAGAAAGTGAGAGAATTCAAAGTAAGGACTTACTTGTATGTCCCATGCTTATTGCAACTACATTTTGTCTCCTTGTAAAAGCGATCCTTCCATTTGAGATTGAAGTGCATCTATCACTTGTGTAAAGCACAAACCAGGTAATTGTCTTGGCAGGTGAGGAGGATGGCAAGTGGAGTGTTGACTGTAACCCAGTAACCTTTTGCAGTTGGAGACATAAATGCATATGGAACTATAAAGAATGCTGCGGAAATAAATTATCATGAGAATAGCAATGTAAACAGGTATACAGAGTTGATTCGGGAAAGACTTAATCTGGAGTAACAAAAAAGAGTTGTAAATCAAAGTTGAGGTATTTTAGTAACAATTAAGTGCAATGACTATACATTTTTCTTCCAGCAATTTTATTGGTGAGGTAGTAATCTTCTATTAGCTCAACTGATGTAACTGAAAAACAATTAATATTTAAATGGTTGCACTTTCATTGTCATAAGGATTTTTTGATTGAATCATTGCAGCAATGATAAATAATGATGGCTCTTTATAGGACATCTCTAAAAGGACACTTAAATATTATAGTAAAATTGAATGGACCTTTTCAATGAAAAGTAACTTGGGGGAAACTATTTTCCAAATTTGTATTACTTTCTAGCAGTAACCGCTTCATTCTGCGGTAATCACTGCGGTGCATCAGTGATAAGAGGGAAGCTTTTGGAACATTGTATAGCAATTAATGATAAATAATGAAGTTTCAAGTAATAACGTGAATGTTTCTTAAGTAACTAATATGACATTTCAGTTCAAGTGAGAGCTCATGTGAAATTTTAAGACTTCAGAACCAGAGTGCAAATGCTAGATAGCCATAATGTTGTTTGCCATGCTTAATGTATTTTTGGTGTGTGAATTACATGCTGTATAAGTTTGTCTGTTTAAAAGCTACATTTTATAGAAAGAAACCCTAAGGCAATAATCTTTCAGTTGCTGTGCTTGTGTTTAGGATAAGCTTATGTAAACTGAAGGCATATATGCAGGGTTTTTTCGAGATAAGAATCTACATTCCAGCAACCAGTAATTATACAATAAACAATTAACTGTTCTTATAAACACAGTGTTTTTATTGAAAGACAGATTCATTTTTGAGGTTGCGGTTGCACAGACTGTGACCTGGGAGTTTTCATTAAACAAACAAAAAAAAGCGTCGTACGCTTTGAGTGTTCTTACGATGCTCACAACTATTAGAATTTTCATATTCTCATAATTAACAAGGTTTTTGAGATTCTAGGCCCAGGGGTTATTTTGTGTTCCAGCATCATCCATGTTACACGTCTTAAGTTTCTTTTACAAGTTGCTTTTACAGTTCAGAGTGTAACGCCTCACGTCTACACACTTGTGTGTTCGGCTGTGATGTAGTCTTTGTGTATAGTGTCCTTTTCCTTCACAAAGAAGTGACTCTTAGTCTTCACATTGTTATCAGAGTAAGTAGGAATTTCAAGTTAAAAAAAAAAAACAACAAACAAAAAACCAAAAAAACCCCAGCAAACCAATTTCTAGATTTCCCAAGTTTTTGAGTGATTAATTTGAAGTTCATCTACTTTTGCTCCTGACCTTTTGCTGTGACAATGTGAAAGCAGGAGTCATGCAATGTTACTAGTTTTAATCCATCCTGGGTTTTGTTGGCCATCACCTTATCCTGAAGGATTTTTGCTGCAAAGTGTATGCCCACTTGCCTGAAACACCACTACACCACCAGACATGCCTCTCAGCCTGAAAATAGCATAAATGGGAAAAGGAAGGTGCTCCATTGTATGAACGATCCACGTGTGACTTCGTAGTTTGCCTTTTAAACGTGTATGAAAAAAAAGTCAGCATCACCTACTTCTGTATAGGTAAATGCTTGAAGAAAACTTGAAAGTAAAACTAAGTATAACCTAGTGCCAGGTTGGACATGGCTTTGAGCAACCTGGTCTAGTGGAAGGTATCCCTGCTCATGGGAGGGGATTGGAATTGGATGAGCTTTAAGGTCTCTTCCAACCCAAACCATTCTACGATTCTTTTGTGGACGGAAAGTTTTCACAAGGTCAGCATTCGTGTTGGTGAATCTTGCTAATGATGCACGTGCTACTACCATGGTTCAGCTTAGAAACCTACTTTCTCATGTAGTACTTTTTATTTTTAGAAAATCTGAGGAAAACATCATGTGTCCTAACTTTTATGTTTTTTCTAGCTATGCAAGAATGGTAAATATAAAAAAAACAAAACCAGTTTAACTTTAAATTTGTCTTGTAAAAAACATTTTTGTTTAATTTTGCTTTATTATTCGTAATGTTTTACATACAGAACACTATTGTGAGTTTTTGGTCTGGAAATTGTCCACAGTAAGGATGCAAACCATTAGATTTCAGTCAGCATATAATAGAAATCTGTTGCTGATACATAGTGTTGAACTGCACAAAGGTCTGTCCTCTACAACATAAGGGCAACGATGTGCTCACTCTGAATTGAGGTTTGGGGATTCTCTGAATGGTAGTTATTACTGTGAAAGGTGTGAAAGTGATAAAAGCAGGAGCTTTTTGTAAAAAAACCAAAGGATGCTCGTTGATTATTTAGGCTTGTGACTTAATCTAGTGCACTGACTATAGGAGCATTGCTATGCTCTAAGCAGCTGAAATGGAAAATACATCCCCTGTTAGTGCATCTTGGGTATAGAAGTTAATCTAGAAGCCTAAAGCCAAAAATGTTGTATCCCTTACAGACAGGCTTTTGTTAGTTCATAACGTGTGGAGGTCACACTGCTCTCACAGGCTCATCGTATCTCCTCTGTCTCCTTCTTGCTATGTTAATGGAAACAAAGCAAAAGCAGCAGTGTTCCCAATTTTTAAAATTATTTGGTGACTTCTATAAAAGTTTCCCATGATGTCATGATTCCTGGCATAAAGTGTTCCATTTTTCCCTTAAGCAGAGTGACTGCCCCCTCATCCCAGGGGATGAAAGAGGATAGGGGAAGCCTCCCTTACAGCAGGCGGCAGGGAGGGCTGTGGGTTTTGCTGTTGGGGGTTTTTTGGCATCTGTTTGCAAATGAATTTTGAACTTACGTGCACTGGAGTAGGTAGCAACTACCTATAAACTTACGTGCAAAAGGCAAGAAAAGAAGAAGGTAAACGGTTACTTGGTTATGCTGGCTTAATTTTTTCCATTTGACAGGTGCCGAGTCTGTGGAAGCTTGAAAGCTTTGGGATTTTGTTTTGTTTCCTCCTCCTTTTTCTGCCTTTTAAAGTTGGAAATCATTAGCACTTTTAGCGTGTTCCTGATGTAGCTTGATATTTAGATTAGGTTGCATTTTTTTATTTTCTGCATTTTTGCTTTTGCACAGGCCCAGACACTGTATATTTTAAGTTTGCTTCCACTAAGTCTGATTGTAACATCGTGTTAATGTAGATGACTCATTTCAAAACATTAAATAAAATCTGTGGATCATTAACTTACTTGTAATGGTAGGAGGTCTGAAGACTGGGATTAGTAACTTAGCAGTGCTGTTGCTGTCAATTTTGTTAGAATTGCACCAAAATTAACAAAATCTTTTAAAAAACTATTGCTCACACAGCTTCCTAGGCTTTCCAGCCTTTGTATTAAATCTGGTCCTGTAAGTTCTAGTAGAATTGGAAACTGAAATGTTAAAGTAGGCATGTATTTGTAGTCATCTGCTTTGCAGATTTACATCAGTAAATCATTTCCAGAAGTGTCCATTCAGTGTTTCTTACAGTTGAACTAGGAAGACCTCTGTCTTCCTGACTTAGTCCTTTGTAGACTTTCTTGTGATCAAGTTTGATTTTTTATAAGGCTTCTCTCTCTCTTAGTTTCAGGACC